GCAATTCTCATGCAAAGAAACTATTGTGCTACAATAATATATTTGGAGAGCCGAATATGAAAGCTATTAAAATGTCCTAGACCCCCTGCCTTTCACACAAAAAAATAGCAAAAGGCGACTCTTTCCTGGTTTGAAACATGTAGCATGTGAGCCATACAAAAATAATACTCTGAAGGAGCACTAAGTCTTTTATTTCAACCCATATAAGCCAACACAATCAACATTATCTCTTCTCACTATATCTTTATTTCATGCATTTATGCCTAGGTACTTAAGTATCTCCAAAGGTAAAATTCTGGTAAGTGTTGTATATAGTCATCTAAAAGTAATTCCCTACCCAAACAAGGCTCCCTCTTTGTAGCAGGGGCTTGTTCAGAGATATCAGTTATGTATCAAGAGTAACACTCTCACGTGATACACAATCTAAATTGGCACTAGCCTTATAGGCTGCTGGTTATGCTGCTGGCAGAAATGACGTTCTTTGGGGTGCCAAGCATGGACATTCTGCCATGCTGCCAGCTAGAATATATGTGCATATTCATTTAGGAAGAAGGACTGGGGTACCTTAGGCAATTGTACAGTTTGGACAGAATCATGGCTGATTCTGGGACCTCTGAAACCTCAAAGGAAATTGGAAAAGTTATTGAAAAATGTCCAAATTCAATTAGCAATTATTCAGTCTTTTGCAGCATGGAAGCAAGGCTGCTGCTGTCAGTGTCGTTTTACAGACAGAAAAAGAACAGTAAGTCATTGAGAACGTGTTCGAAAGCCAATGCAATCATTACAATCACATTCAGATGGTGACAGTGCCAAGTGTTAACATCAACGATAATGGTTCCAGCGAGGCAATTGGGGTCCATTGTTAAATGGATAGTCAGGAGTTTTAATTAACGTGTGTTTTACATGATAGACTTCAGCAGCACTTTCTTGGAGTGGCGCCACTGTCTATAGAGTCAAATGGAATTTGTTTACTTAAAAGAAAATCATAGTGATCATAACACAGTATTCTACCACTTATGCTGCCTACATTTGAAACAACAATGTGGAAATATTAATGCAACCAGCTGAAGTTATGCTTACTGGGTCTTCTATTAGGCTCCCACACTGTTGCTGTCACAAATAATATCAGAGTACCAGGGATAGAACTGGCAGTGGTAAATTGCAATTGCAATCATATTCACCCAAAAAGTAGATATTTAAACATGAACTTGGGGGCCGAGATAGGTGGATTGATTTCTCAGAAGTTTTGAGCAACTGCAGTTGATCCTGGCTGACTGATATCTGAAAATAAAGCCGCCTTCTTGGGTGCCTATGCAGACATGAGTTTTAAATATTGCCCTTCAAATATAAAAATGCAGCACCTCTAAATTGTTATTAGCTGTATTCAGAAAGAATTATATGTATGTCCCAGCTCTTTGAAGAAAACGCATTTATAGAATAACAGGCTTTCAGATTTCAAAAGTGTGATTTAAATACAAATACACAATTCAAGGTTTTTTCCTACAGACAAATGCTTCCTTTCTTCTGAACCTCCTTGACCAGTGAGGTGCCATATATTTTCATTTTCAGGATTTTGTTCACATCATATATGTGAGGTAGCATAGTGTGTCATGAAACAAATGCAGTTTTGGCATTAATTATCACAGGGGTGGATGGTCTCTAAACCAGCTCTATACCGCTTCAATCCTGCATCTGCCAAGGGTTGAAAGAGTCCTCGGGATGAACATATTGCCTGGCAGCTCCCTTACCTAGTGCTAGGTGAAACAGTTTCATATGGCGCATACAGAAGTTATGTTTTTTGCACTATTGGCCCCCTGAAAGCACTCTACAGCCATGCCATGACACATACGCGTGACAAATTAACCCTCATCAAATGAGGTATCAGATGACGGCGCTTCACTTCACAGCACCTTAGGGAACTTGTGTTCCCTAAAGTTAATTTGTCGTATGATTGAGGCTGGGCTGACGCAGCCCAACCCTGCCCCTGGGCTGTCAGTGGGAAGGGACTGGGGGAGAGAAGGGGAGTGAGCTGCTGGCTGGGGGTTTGCCTGGCCTGAGCTGGAGGGGGCTGTGGCTGGACCCCGCCCTCCAGCTGGGCAAACCCTGGATAAAAGCAGGGATTAAACCCAGGTCTCCCCTGGGCTGGGCAAGAGCTCTAACCATGCAGCTACTAGAGTAAAGGAGTGAGCCAGAACTGGCCCCTGTTCTACTCATGTATTTTGTAGGGGTTGACAACACCTAGCAGGCCACACAATGCACACATGGTAGCTAGAGGTGATCATGACCGGGTTCAGTCATAAACTAAGTATCTAGCAGTTCAATAACACTGCTAGGATTTGGGTGTTTTGGGGCATGCCCAAAAGTATGATGGTAAGCATTTATAGAACTTCATGTTAAAAAGATTGAGGGCCTGTACCTATGGTGAGAGCAGTTTTTGAAGATCTACATTTTGGAGTTGGACAATGGACATGTCTAGATGCTTGCACACACGGGGAAAAAACCCAGCACTTTAAACATGCACTCCCACGCCAAGCCCAGTGCATGCCCAGAAGAGGCATCGCATTAGTTGGACCTAGTTCACCCAGCATCTGTATAGATCAAGTGCTTTAGTGGGGCTTTCTTGGCACTTTTATCTAATAGCTGATTGAATCAGCTATTAGATAAAAGCACCAAAAAGCCCACTGAACCACCCAATCTATAAACGCTGCAAAGCTGGGTTAAAGAAACACACTGCTGCTCCTGGTAAAATATGTTTTGGGTTTTTTCCATGGCTGTCAGTGCCCTTGTGATAAATAACAATTTAAAGCCCATTACTCATTTTTCTATGAAAAAAAAACCTAAGATAAAAACTTCAAAAGCAAGTAAAAACCTTTGGTCATTATTCCCCTGAATCACACGTGTGATTTTGTCAATGGGTACATTTTTCAGTGTATCTGTTCATATATTCAAATTCCACTTCATTTCAGCCTCTTTTTCAGCTTGTTTTAGGATGATAAAATAGTATTTCTCACATGTAGCTATAACAGACAAGTAGTCGTGCTTTACTTTGCATCTATATTTTCATATCTGAAAACATGTGACAACGAGTAAACTTTTTTAAGCGTGATTGGAGATTCAGCTGATTTAATTGCTGGTGTAATTGATAATTAGACCCAGTATAGATTAAAGCACCTAAGTGCAAGTGGAATATTCTGTTGTAAACTGTTGTTTGCAGTTAAAAACCCAGAAGAGCAGTATTATTTGGTATTTTAGGAGTACGAAGGGTGTTAGTTTTTGGGGGTTTCTGTTAAACAAATGGGAGACTTTTTGTACATTTAAAATTACTACTGAAAGTGTTTACAGTCTTTTGGCATTCAAGTATTTAGGGCCTTTTGAATCTTAGCCCCAGGAAATGAAAAAAGGCTACGAGCTAAACATTTAAATATGTTGTCCCTTAATGGTAAATTTAATTCAAAACTTCACTGCATTCATTTTATAGCAAGGGCAATAATTGTCTCCTAGTGTGAAAAAGCTGCATTAGCTATTAACAGTTCGTTACACAAAATAGTTGTCAGAAAAAAATAGGGAAAAAACTCTTTAAGCCCATAACTGGAAAGAGCTAGTTGGTTTCACTTGTTGTCGAGCTGTTTTATAAAAGCAACTGCAAGAAGAAAAACTACTGAGAAGTTGATGGAGGGCCAAAAATATTAATATACTGGAACACAGTGAACTTTTTACAAGCTGTAAATATTTTTTTGGGTTCCCACATATAACCGTAAAGTATGTTGAGTCCTTTCTTTGTCAAGCCTTCCACTATTAGTGTGCAGTCTGTGATGAATAACATCTACCAAAAAAAAAAAAAAATTAGAAAGCCACAGCATGTGTCAGAAGGCCTGCATATTTCCTGTTGAAGCTACCAAAAGGAAAATCATTTTAGTAAATACCAGGAGACTCTAGGATGAGCAGAGGGGTAAAATTAAAAATTCAAGAAAACAGGAAGCAGTAAATGGGATGAACTCGGTTTGTGGACCTTGGACACACTAGCAAGTTGATTCCTGCCGGGATGAAAGAAGAGCGTTAGTGGAAGAAATCTGTTCATGCAACAGAATAAAAACTACCATGTCGTTCTTGGAAGGTTCTTCGCCATTGTCCAAGCGCCTTGCTTAGGTTTCAGACATAAGAGCATGGAGAGGTTTCTGCTGTTTGCTTTCTATTAAAAAAGAAGCTGATAAGAGTCAACCCAACACTGAGTTTGCCGCAGCACTCCTTCCCGGTATGATACAGCTCATGAAGGCCCCGGGCAAGATGTCAACCTTCCATCCCTTTGATTTGAGCACGTTTTGTTAGGGGAAGATTTTTTTTCCTCCTTTTTCCCTCAGAAATCTCAGCCGCATCACATCAGAGAGGCTCTTCCCTTGCTTGGGAGGCAGCGGAGGGTCAAGGAACGTGGGGGACAATTAGTTGCTTGTCTGAAGGGCGCGGGCTAGCGCGGCCGGAGAGACTGGCTTTCCTCGGGGGGAGAGGGGGGTTGACCAGAAACAAGCAGGTCTGAAGGATGGGGATAAACTCCCTTCCCCTCTCTCAGCTCAAGCGGGGTCTCTTCCTTGGAGCTGGGAGTCAAGGTCTTGCTAACTGGAGGGTGGAGAAGAGACCCAGGGCAGCACAAAAGGGACAGGCCTCTCTCTGACCAGCCTTTGCTGCACCCCTTGCCCCGGGCCCTCCTGCATTTGCCTCCACCCCGGGGTTGCAAAGGCAGCGCCGACGGAGGACTATGTAAGGAGGGGACCATGCAACCAGCAAGGGGATGAGGAGAGACTCCAGCCACTGGAGCCGAGGCCACACTGTGTCCACACCTGATGCCCCATGAGGCACCGGAGGCTCCGCCCAGGCCTTTGTCACACGGCCGTTGCCTAGGAACGCCCGGGCGGGGGCCGGCTGGCTCGGACCCAGAGCAGCTGCTGAAGCCCCGGCGTGGCCGTGGGGGCCACGGAGGAGGTGGAGGTGGAGGGTGAGGGTGAGGGATGGCACAAATAGGCTCCAGCCCGACCCAGCAGCTCAGCCCCGTGGAGCAGGATCAGATCTGGTAATGGCCCCCAAGAGCCGGCTCCCCTGGGGTGTCCACCACCCCCCCGCTCCACAGCGGTCCCCATGCCTGCTCAGACCCCACTTCGGCAGCTGCGAGCTCCCTCAGATGCGAGAGGGCCTGCCAGGAACAAGGCGGGCATGCAGGAGTGGCATCAGAAACCCTGAGCCGAGGAGAAACGAAGCTGGTCTGTCACCAGGTCCCTTCCTCGCCCGTCCCCTCTCTTCACACCCCCCGGGCACCCTCATTTTTATCGGGGAAGACAAGTGGAGCCTCAAGACCTGAGGAGAATAGCAAGGAAAGCCTCTCTCCTAAGGCGGGAGAAACAGAGGCAAGAAGGAAAGAAAATAGCAAGAAAGGAAATAGTTCATGTAATAAAGCACCGTGTTATGTAATAATACACACGTGAGGAAAAAAAGTATGAGCTTCTAGCCTTACTCACCACAGTTTTAAATCTTCCAGTCATTTTCACTGGAACATAGTTTTCCCCACACTATTGCTCTTTATATTTCTCTGTCACGTTAGATCATCTGTTCTTAACTTCCGTCAACTCGAGACACCCCTTGGTAGGCTCAAGGCATCCCTTGGAAAATGCCAGCTCTCAGCCTTCACTTGCTTTTTGACTGCCGAAAAATCCTGGAACAATTCTTCTCTTGCAAACAGCTCACAACACATCAGATTCCTACTGGAAATCTCTGCGGGTTTGTCGTGTGGATCTTGTTTGCACACCTATCAGTGCTAACATCGCCAGGCACCCTCGACAGGTTCTCAAAGCAGCCCTGGTTGAAAATCACTAACTCCGATTCTCCATGCCAGTATTTTCAGTTAACCTCATCATAAGAAAGCAGGAAGCAGGCCTGTTTTCATTACTGATTACTGACTGCTATTTAACAAAATCAGCCATTTAATTGATTTTGGAGTCTGAAATATTTCTAGAGGTGTGTCATAGCACACGCAACGTCATCCAATCCTGAACGTTAAATATAAACATAGCTGGGAAGGAGTATATTCTGAATTACTGTTTCATTTCCATCAAAACAGAAAATATTTTCCCTAGCCTCTTCAACCTTAATATACTAATATAGAAATGAGCTTGCTACTTTGAGGGAGAGGCCTACCCTTTTGCAGTTTATAATTTTTCCAGCAGACTAGTTCATTTTGTGACTTTAGTTTGTTACTTGAATGCAGGCGCTGAAGGTCTTTTCAGTCATTTTTCTGTTCGTTCCAGGAAAAGCTGTGTTCACAAGGAACTAGAGGCTGCGAGGAAATGGGCCAACACATGGGGGTTTTTAGCGACATCTCCTGAGGAGGTAACACTGAATTCTATATAGTACCTGTATGAATTTGACTTGCATAGTTTACCCAGAATAGTTACGTACAGCTTTTAATTAAGCTGTTCCAGTGCAGAGCCATTATTATTGAAAGCTTAGCAATATGTATCCTAGACAGGCAACTTTGGTCATCTCTACCAGGCAAAATGATTGGAGCACAAAAGTGTTGAAGAGTGCTTATAACACTCCTACATGTAGGGCTCCAAGTTAGTAAATGAAGTTCTTCTAAGGTGATTTAACATTTTTTTTCAGAGCTGCTTTCGGAATAAAATGACAAGTTGTAATTTATATGCTCTACATATTAGAATGCATACGACTCCCAGGAGTGTTAGCAAGAATTAGATGCATGTTGACAGAATATTTCCCCTTTGTCTGTCCATATGGTAGTTTAAAAGTGGAGGGAAAAAAAGGTTTTAGCTAATTAAATTTTCAGTATGGAAATTTACAACTTGCTAAAATACTTGGAAAGGGGCTATCCAGTCTCAGTGATAATTGCATTTTAGATGTGAGACATATAGAGGCCATGCTGTCCTGCTGCTGAACAACAGGACCAATGCTACCACTGATTTCAGTGGTAACCTTACCATTGATTTCAGTGAGACTTATGCACCTAACCTTTGGGACTTTGGAAAGTTCAAGTAGACAGCCAAGTACCTTGGAAAACTCTGGCCCACTGGACCCAAGTATCTCTGCTTTACAAACAAGGACGAAATTTGCTTACCAACCCTCCTGCCAGGCTCAGAGATCTACTAATTACAAGTACATTATACATTACCATCATTAAGTCTCGTGCCATAAAGAAATTACGGTAAATGAATAAGGAATCCAGGTTGTAGCCATATTGGTCTGGAGGCAAAAGATATCAGAACTTATGGTATCTTTTATTAGACCAACTAGATTTTTGCAAAAAAAAAAAAAAATCTTTAATTAAATTCTTTAATTAATTAAAGAATTTTTTTTGGCAAAAATCTAATTGGTCTAATAAAAGATGTCACCTCTACCATAAGTTCTGATTCCTGTCAATGAATAATACAGTTACTTGGCACTATTATGATTATTCAGTTTGCTGTCATATAAGTCACATTTCCATGACTTCTGGACTTTGGGGTGAGAGTTGGAGGCACTCAGAAAGATTCAGCCCTTACACCTGAATTCAGAATGAAATGAGACTGAGAAGTCCATTAGAACAGCTTCCAAAGCTATACAATAATTAGTCCTGTATCAGGTTGCCTAGAACAGGGCGCTTAGAAACCACAGGTATAGATATCGGAGATTAAAACACATTTCTTTGGCTGAAGTGTCCATTTTTTATAATGTTGATATTCTATTTTAGTTGATCAAAACTGAAAAGAAAGAACCCTCTAAACCTAAGATTGAGCTTCCAGAACATTTACAGATCCGACCTCTGACACCACTGGAAAAATATATTAAGGTTAGAAAATTAGATTTAAAAATTGCTATACAGTGAAATCTGTTTTAAGCAGCCACCCAAGCACTAAAAGTCAGTTGTCTAGTAGAGGTGGGCCTTTAACTAAAGGTCAGACTAAATTGTACTGGAAACCTTAGGGATACTTTAAAAGGGTTCATTTAAGACAGGGACTTGCCCTTTGGATGTGGTTTTTGGTGAAGGTTTCACTGCACAACAATCAACTTCTACCATAAAGCAGCTCCTTCTTAGACTTGTGCATAACAGATTATTCATCTAATGCATGCATGTCTGGGCCCATCAGCATTCATAAGGAACGCTGTGAAAATTGTCCCTTCTCTGACTGGGAAGACAGAGAGATACGCCCCATCTTTCAAGATATATCATACCCTGCTTTTTAACTTTCATTTTTCAGCTTCCTCAGTACAGCTGAACGTTTCTCTATTTTTATTCAAGCAAGTCACTTTTTGCTGCAGTTTGTTTTAAACCCTCTCAATAGCAGAAATTAGACTGGCCTAATCAGTGAAACAAATTCTAGTATATGATTCATAATGGTTGGTTTTATAGCGCACGTTTTATACTCATGCTTCAACATCAGTGGGAGTTATGTACACAACCGGATCAGAAGGTGGAAATCTGATGCACTACTTAATTCACAATTGTACTTTGTTGGAACTCCACTGGATACCTTTTCCCCACAGACACTTTACCCCTGGGAAAGATGCATAATCACAAGTGGAAAGTAAAGTGAAGTTCATGTGATTGCCAACAGAAGGGTGGTGAATAGTCCATGAGATAACAGTGACCTTTTCCCACATAGTCAGATTGGAAACTCCTACCTTTTTGTGCGAAATTTCTTTTTGAAAGAACTTTGCAAAAGCCACAGGAGGAAAAGCCATTACTGAGATCATAAGAACTGAAAATTAAAAAGTAAACGCTGGTGCTACATATTGGAACTGAAAAAGTGCTGCAATTTCTGCTGTTAGAGCTTTACATCTTTGTCATAATTCCAGGTTTCCAGCCAGTCATTCGTACCTCTCACGGCCTGATTTGTGCTTGCACACTCACAGTACAGATCAGACAGCTGGTCATCAGTGCCAGATTACCATGTGCAACCTGTTGTGTGTGCACTGAAAAAGAGTCAAAGCTTCAGACTGGATCATTAAAATATACACTGGCCAAGGGAAGCAAGAGTTCGCTGTGGATCTGTCCTACAGTTTGTCTTTTAAAGACCTATAAAAATGTTTTTCAATCCATAGTTTGAGGTTACAGCATTCACTCTCTCCCATGGGAATGAACCGTAACATCATGTCTCATCCTCTAGGTGGGTTAGATTCCTAATCCCTTGTGCTCACCCCTTCCTCCAGAGTATAGGAGGGGCATGGCTTTCTTCCAGTATCCTGCTCAGTGGGTGGCTCTTGTGGCAAAGAAAGTTATCTCTTCAGAGGAAGTGCTCCACCTAAATATCATAAACATTTTCCCTTGTTGGCCGGGGAACAAAGCGAAACAGCTCTGGCAAAAGAACTGAAACATTGTTCTCCTGCTCTGTATCTCTTTACTGAATAAGTCCCCAGATGCTAAATTGATACAACAGAGAGCGCTTTGAATGTGCCCAGTTGAGATGATTCAGCCAAAGCAAGCACAGCAGTCGGTGCACAGAGGCTGTTGGCTTTTGTTTGGTTTCCTTTTTAGCCTGATTAATGACTGATTAACTTGATGCTTAACCATTTTTTAGTAGAAAGGGACTGGAAAGGATAAATTAGTTTGTACGCAGGAGCCAGCTTGGTCACTGGTATCTTTAGTGTGTGGCCTTAGAGCTATTACTACTTAGCAACGTAACCACCAATTTGGCCAGTGCGGAAGTGCCTTTTTCCTTTGTTTCCAAATGTTAACTAGCCTAGGGATGATTAATATATGAAGAGAGGGAGACAGTTGAAGCTTATATGTGGGCTTATATGCTGTTCCTAATAATGAAATCAAGCAAAGCCCCTAGAGATTTATTAACCAAAGATGAGGATCAGAAGATAGAATTCAAGTTGTATTAAACATCTTAGTCTCCTGCCAAGTTATGTTAATACTAGTTTTCACATTCTTCCTCTTTCCTTTACCAGTGGAAAAAAAAACAGCCTTCAAATCTTAATGTATGTTAATAAGTACTAAGGATCTAATGATAACCAGAACACTGCCCTTTTACTTACTAAGTAACAGGGATCCTGGTTTTTCTCTGATTTAAAAAAATCCCAATTTTTGGTTAAAAAAAAGCAACCCCAAATCCACATTTTTCCATGATTTAAATGAAACACCCCTAATAGATAGATAGATAGATAGATAGATAGATAGATAGTGATGTTTCATTTTAATCATGGAAAAATGTGGATTTGGGGTTACCTTTTTTAACCAAAAATTGGGGATTTTTTTTTTAAATTAGAGAAAACCAGGATCCCTGCTCATTAACCCCTTATTACTACATGGCTTTGTTTTCTTCCACACCTGCTTATTTAGATATAGCAAGGGTTTTAGCTTGTTAGGCAAGACAAATACTTAGACAGATTTGGAGCTGCTATTAAAATGTTCTCATCATAACTTGCCCTAGAAAGAACCATCAACTTTCCTAAATGTATTTTCAGCGATAGCCTTTCTGTACTGTAAGGCTCAGTCTTGCAAGCTACTAGGCAACCTCAGGATGTCCTCAAGCCCCTTCAGTTTCCTCCTACTTCAGTGGAAGTTGAGAGTATTAGAAACCAAGCAGAAGGAGCCCCGAGTAAAGCAGTATCCAATAAATGAAATACCAAGCTTCAGAAGAACACCAGCACGTAATGAATTACCTTTGAACACTGGTTGTTTAAAACTAAGTTTTACCTTCTTCCAGTGCTAGAATACATTAGGGCATGTTGCATGGCAGCATCATAGAAATGAAACCCACTCAGTTAATAAATTTACTTTATGTCTTCTTATTCCAGGCCAATCCATCTCCTCCAGTCCCTAAAACTACTCAGGGGTTTATTGGCTGGAGATCATCTGTGCCAGGGCTGAAACTTGAACATGGTTATCAAATCCGAAGCTGCAAAGGTGCCTTTCACAAGGATTTGCAGTGGCCAGATGGACCCTGTGATTGACATGAAGAAATAATGAATAAGCTTATTGATCCATTTGTTTTCTCAACCTAAGTTGAATATTCAATAGTACAAACAGCAGACTTTAAGTAGATAGTAAAGCATAAGTATTTACATGATATCAGCAATATACTTGGCAAGATGTGAGAAATTTAGTTTAGCATATCAGTTGTTCATGTTTTGTTGAAACCTGCAGTACACAACCTGTTAGTGCTGCTTAGGTTTTACTGAGAAAAATTGCTCTGTTAAGACCAATGGACAAATACAGCTCCTCTTAAGATTAGTAAGAGCGTGATTTGAATCCCATTCCTGTCCTCATACCCCCATAAGAAAATATTTTTGTATAATAGTGAGTGCATGTATCTGTAATATTTTCTCATCTCATGGTTCTCATTTCCTGTGCCTTATTTTGAAAGAATCATCAAGAAATGAAAAAAGGAAGATCCAGGGAATTATAGGCCAATCAGACTGACATCCATCCCTGGAAAGATCTTGGAGAAAATCATCAAGGGATTCATCAGCAACAGGCTAACAGAAGGTAACCTTCTGAGTGCCAGCCAACATGGCTTTGTTGCTGAAAGGTCTTGCCTGACCAACCTCATCTTCTTCTATGACCAGGTGACACATTGCCTGGACAAAGGAGACGAGGTTGATGTCATATACCTGGATTTCAAGGAAGACTTTCACTTGGTTCTCCATGATGTCCTCATGGTTAAACTGGGGAACTGTGGCCTCAACCATCTCATGGCCTGATGGCTAAGGAACTGGCTCTGGGGACGGACCCAAAGAGTACTAGTTGATAGGAGCAAATCAACACGGCACGAGGTAACCAGTGGTGTCCCTCAGGGCTTAGTACTCAGGTCAGTACTGTTCAACATCTTCATTAATGACCTGGATTTGGGCGTCAGATGCAGACTAGCAAAATTCACAGACGACACTAAACTATGGGGGAAGGCAGTCACACTGGAAGACAGTGACCCACCTGGACATGGTAGGTGGACCAAAACCTCATGGCATTTAATGTGGAGAAGTGCAAGGTGCTCCACCTTGGAAGGAAAAACCAGCATCATACTTATATGCTCGGCAGTGCTTCATTCGCTAGCACCATGACCAAAAGAGACTTGGGGGTCTTGATTGACCACAAGATGAACATGAGCCACCAATGTGATGCCGTGGCCAACAAAGCAAACCAAACACTGGCATGTATCCATGGATGCATCTCAAGCAAAACTAAGGACATCATCCTCCCACTCTATTCGGCCTTAGTGAGGCCACAGATGGAGTACTGCGTCCAGTTTTGGGCCCCCCACTTCAGGAGGGACGTGGATAAGCTTGAGAGAATCCAGAGCAGAGCCACCCATATGATCAAAGGCCAAGAGAGCAAATCTTACGAGGAGAGGCTGTGGGACGTGAGACTCTTCTGCCTGGAGAGAGAAGGCTGGGGGGGACTTGGTGGCAGCCTATAAGTATATAAGGGGGGGTGCACCAGGATCTGGGAGATGCATTGGGACCTGGGAGAACAGTTGTTCACCAGGATTCCCCAAGGGATAGCAAGGTCTAGTGGCCACAAACTCCTGGAAGGCTGATTTAGACTGGACATAAGGAAAAACTTTACAGTCTGAGTGTCCAAGGTCTGGAATAGACTCCCACCAGAGGTGATGCAAGCACCTACTCTGGATTCATTCAAAAGGCATTTGGATGTTTATCTTGCTGGGATCATTTGACCCCAGCAGACTTCCTGCCTATGGCGGGGGGCTGGACTCGATGATTCCGCAAAGTTCCTTCCAACCCCTAATGTCTATGAAGTCTATGAAAGAAACTTTCCCTGTCAAAGAACTTAGAAAGAGATATTTAGCAAGGATGCTATTAAAATGGTCTTTGCTACAACTTAGCCAAGGCAAACTGGAAATGTAGGCAAGTTAGATATCTAACCAAGCAACAGTTTTTAGTCTAGTGGAAGGGTGCTTGGCCCCTACTACTATGTCATCCAGCCTGCAGGACTCCCCATGGGACTGTGGGAAGCCCCACAGGCTGTAGCCCTGTAGATCATGTATGCAGGACATGGCAAGGTCCAGTCCCAGCACACAGGACTGGGCAGGGGTGGCTTAAGGCTACAGAGTCTAATCCCAGCATGCAGAGCTGGTCAGGGTCCCAGGGCTCAATCCTGGTACACAGGGGGGTGGTATAGGACCTGATCACGATGCACAGGGACCAGCCAAGGCTGTACAGGGCCCGATCTGAGAGTGCAGGCCTGATCCTGGTGCACAGAGTCCTGTCTGACCCATGGATTAACCCTGCACCACTCGTCTAACCTACAGGGCCAAAAAGTTGAGCACTACTGTTCTAGTGCACAGTGTGCACTTTACAGGTAGCTTGTGTAACAAAAGATAGCTGTGCAATTTAGTGGATCCCAGTTAATCTACTCAATGGGCAAAAATAGTGCATACTAACAATGTGTCAATATGAAGTATCAAACTTTACATTGTAATAATTTTCTCTCTCTATGATTAGTCAAAACCTCTTAACAGTTTAACCAGCTTTGCTTTGTCAGCCATATTTGAATTTGGCCAGCATTCACCCACCTGTGAAGACATCTACCGTTGTACATTATTTACTATATTTTGTATGTAAGTAAACACAGTGCTGTATATAAGTAAACACGGTGCAACATGCTTCATCCAAAGACTTTTCACTAATAGCAATCTAGTTTTTGTAAACATTGTGGGTAAAAGAAAAAAAAAATCAAACAGACCCATTAACAATGTCAATAGGTCATTATGTGACACACTAGGCAGCCTTCAGGCTGCAAAGCTACAAACTCTGCTTGAAAACATTTGTCAATTGGCATTTAGCAAGCTTGTAATGTGTATACTGTGTCCTATTTATCAGAAGGCACATTGATATCTCAACTACATAGTTCAGTGCAACATAACAGGTGGAGGCTTCAAATTAGAAGTACTTCAAAACTACACATTTACAAGTTTCTTGGCTCATTTATAATTTAGGTGGAAACTTGCATCCTCATGAAGCGTCTGATGCATCTGCATTAAAATCAACTGAAAGATTCCTATGGACTTTGTTAAGTACTGAGTCAGTCCTTCCACTGAGTCTCTGATAAATCTATGGAAAATATGTTGCTCCCACTGATCATATAAAATGTAGTATCATTGACCTCCCACAGAAAGATTCCTCCTTGCTATAGGAATAACAGACTTTGTAGCAAGCATACTGCCTGTCGCGTTAGCAAATGGAGATAAAGGGAAGTCACAGGGATAGATGAGCTGCTTTACTGTTTCAGATGCTATGGGTTACACAATACCATGCTGGCTATTATACTGTGGTTTTATTTCTGAAGTCGGTATCCTCTGTTCTCTCAAGCGCTGAGCAACATACCAGTGCAAGTCTATTTTATACTAAAGCAACATGCATCAAAACTAATGCAGCTATTGTGAGATAGCTACCTAGACATCCCCACCAAGTAGGGTTCAGTCTTCCAGTAGCACTTCAGTACACATCACCCAACTGCAGGTTTGATAAAGGACATTTGGAAGCAGAGGAAGAGCATTGCTTAAATTTAACAGCTATTTGCAGGTTTTTAACTTGTGAAGAGGTTGGAAATAAAAAAAGATTATTTGAAGAGGGAGAAAAAAGAACCTTCCAAGAAGCTGACATAGACATGTCCTCCCTCAGCCTTCCCAAAAAATCCTCTAATTTTAGCACTGCTGTAAGAATTCCACTGTATCTTGTAGCATTAATACCTGCTTCTTGAGTCAGCAACAAATCCTCAGCATACATGGCAGTAGGTCAACAGCTAGTGGGTTGTTAGTGGGTTCTTCTTCCCAAGAAGTGACTCACCATGATCAACACCCCACCTTTTCATTTTAAACATCTTACTCCAAAAGCCCATAAAATAATATTTGACTTTCTCCAATCTTTTTATATAAATAAGGCTCACATTCCCTGGAAAGATCACCAGAAATAAGATTACCTATCAGAGGTTACCCCAGTCACTATTTTTAGGACAAAAATAAAGAACAGCTTAGAACCAGACTCTGAAAGTGAATTTTGGTTTCAAGTTTGCTACTGAATACAGCATTAAAAAAATATGGTACTCAATGAACATGCAGGGGCACACTAGAAGCGAGTGTTTTAAATCAGTGTCCTTTCCTTTCTTGTCATGGTTGAGCTCATGTCACTGTCAAAAAAGTAGTCTTTTTTGTTTAATTATTTTTGCATCAATAGTTCTTTAAAATAAGCTAAAATCATATATCAAAATAAGTTTACATTGCCATCTGCTTTAAGAAAAACAGGCATAGTAGAAATGAACCCATAATTTAACAGTCAGAACAGCACATTTAAAAAAATCATGCAGTTCATTTTTAAAGGTTAGGCCTCCAACCAAAAGAGAGACGTGAGACTTTACGAGTTCAAAAGAAAATCCATACGGCCAAAACTGGCACCTTGGACCCTCTGCTTTTATATGAAGTGAAATCCAGATCCAAACCACTCCTGCTTTGATTTTGCAAAACCAAAACAGGGCTGATAATACTATATTCTGAAAAACCAAAATAAGTTTCCAGTTCAACAGGCCCCAACTGTAAACTTCTGAAGTTTATTTTTGTTATCTAAAAAATTAACTCAGTACCAAAAATAAGTATTATTGTTATGCTACTTTGCTACTTTTAAGAGTCCCTTACTGCAGCAGAAAAGTTAACGTAGTGCAACCTGTGATGTTAAAATATTTCTGTCTAGATTGAGTTTTTTCTTCATCTGAATTAGTGGGGGGTGGGGGTTGATGGTAACTATAGAACATTTGAAAGTCTCACATTGTATCATACTGATTGCATCAATATTTCCAGGACTCCAATTTTGACCTTTTTATATTTAAGGAATTTCTGTCTCAATTGTGAATTAGTAGTAGAGAGAAGTGACCAGTCAACTGCCCCAGCCATGAATGCAAATGGATGGCACAGGGTTATTAAATTACCTTGTACTGTTTCAAA